TAAAATAGTTTATTTAATATGGAATTCAGGGTTCACTTACTTGTCAAAAGGGCTACATTATTTTTAAGAGTGTAACAGACAAAAACGGAATGCAGTAGAATTTGGAGTTGCAGTTTGTGCATAAGTTATATTTATTGCTTTGTATGAAGTGAGGCTACGTAATGCATTGTGAGCTTTCAAGGTTTCCGAGGTGAGCAAATTGGAGAGGAGAAAGTGAACTAGGTACTTTCACCAGGTAGTCCTGAATGTAATTCCGCCAACTGTTGCAACCCGGTATGAACAGATGTGCAGCGTTTTAGGTAGATATGCCTATTTTCATTATGCTAATCTACGATTCTAAACTAATTAATTGCATAAGTAGACAAATTCTGCACCCGAGACGAAATTTAGTCACAAGATTGGTGACGTTAGAAATTTTAGCTTCGAGAAATGTTACCATTTCTTGTTTTGAAAATATGTATCTGACGATTGTTGACAATTACGTATATGTAAATACGAGTCGCTAAGCCCATTAGCAAAAAGGACGAATATCTGTAGACTAATGTATAATCACGACTAAGAAAATTAGATTTTTGGTTGTGCAACATTTCACCCGTGTTCCCTAATTATCGTGACAAACTTGCCTTAACTCAAATTATTAGTCCCAATTGACCAAAAACTTTCTCCTGCTTTTTTTGGTTTAAGTGGGAAAAACAAACTTTGCAAATTAATCGAATCTTACTTCCTGCTAAAAAATTTATCCCCCGGGACTTTGTCCCTATTAACAAAAATCTGTAGACAAATCCGCTAATTACAATGTTACCATCTGGATAAATTAGGCAAACACTTAACGACATCAACTTATGCAACCGCTTTCCTTCCTAGGGAAATTTGTTGTTAAGCAAATTAGCGTTAATTTTCGTAAGAAACAGCCCGCAGAGAAAGTTGAAGTTGCAAATATTGCAATGAAAACCTTATATAAATAAAATGAAAATTTTAGGTATTCCAATATTTCAAACTTTATTAAAATTTTCAACTTTCTCCAAAATTCGGGAAATGATAAAATTCTCTACTTTCTCCAAAGTTCCTTACACTATTTATTCAAGCCTAAATTGAATCGCAAATCTGTACCTAACAATTCTTGTTGACTGACTTTCTCTTCCTCCTCCTTTGAGCTTCACTCACCTGCAGAAAAGTCAACACAAATCCAATTCACGCCAAGAGCGTCCCCTTAATGAAACGTGTTTAGGATGAATGCGGACGTTAATTGAATCCTTGTCAGCTTAAATTCACCTCATGGTGAGTGGAGCATAATTTATTTTGGGACTACTTTCACCACCACCTTCATTACTTCATTTCCTAGCAGTGGCCGCGAAAGCTGTGGGGGATCATACCTGTTCAGGAATTTAGTTTTCATTCAAAAGTCAGTCATCCCGATTTGTCTCACTGAAGATTTTTATTCACATTGAGTGATTGTCGTTCAAATTCATTACTTCTCACTTCATCCGACTTCATTTCTTACTTTGCCTAATGTATTAAGCATAGGGTAATAAAAAATGAAATGAATGAAAAATCCTTTCATTCACAATAATTCATCGGAAATGATGGAATCATTCAGTCATTTTCATTAAAATGACATGAAATTCATTTCCATTTACTATCATAATCAGTCAAATGAATGAAGGTAAACAGGTATGCTTGGGGCATCAGTATTATTTGATAGAGGAGCCAGGGTTTATACCACATGGCCAGATAATGGGGACATCTAATAACCGTGAGGACATTGTCCCTCTGTCCCCACGCTTCCTCGGCCATTGCTTCCAAGAACTGAATGGGATGAAAGTCTTGGTGTGCATCACTTCACGGTGAAAGTTATTCTTCGTTTAGTAGAGTAAGATGCAGTTGAAGGTCGTGGGGGTCGTTAAGTGAGCGGAAAGTGGGATCTGGAACGGAGACGACGTAGTTCCGAGTAGAATAATGCAGTTTTCCAGATGCATGTGGTAAATAAATTTAATTTAGATTTCTATCTGACACACTTTCTCCTGGCATGTTGACTTTGATGTGGGATTTGGAGGAGAGGAGAAAGGAAGGAAATTCTTTAGGGAAGAAGACTGGGGAAAGCAAAATTTTGAGAACTTGGTGTAGTTGGAGATGTACACTGTTAGCAATCTGGTGCAGTCAGGTAGGTATTGATTTCTCGGTAATAAAGTTGTTACCGCTTGGTATTAAAAAAATTATACCGCTTCGTATAAATTTTGCCACCTATTTATAACAAAACTTTAACACTGAACCATTAATACACCGTACTCCTTTTCAATAATAATTTTGTCAGGTCATTTATGCATTTATGAATACCGCTTGGTATCATTTTTATATTAAATTTTTAAGAGTTTAGTTTTTGTGCATACTCACATTCAGGTTTCGAAGGTATGGATAATGAATAATTTGCATTTTTTAAAAATATGTCAACGTTTATATCAAGTTCATTTACTAGGCTTCTAGTCAACCTCTTATGTACTTTAGAGACATTTTCTCTAAATATTTTTCCAGCCACGCTTTGTTCGAATGCAAGAATTAGCGTGAATTGCAGCCCAGGCAAATATTTCCTGTTGTGGCATCCTGCTGTCGAGGACACTTTCCCTTTATTAGGGTTAACTGCATTTCGTCCTCAGCTGTCTCTTCACCAAAGAGCTGTTTTCCTTCACATTTATGTATGTATCTACCTAAACAGAATCAGCCTCTAAGAGCGATACAGAGAAAAAAATGGTTCACTAACGACTTGAGAGGACACTTAATCAAAGGAATTGAAGGCGACGTGTGACACATGAAACAAGGCGACCTGTAACAATAAGTGTGTAGATAACGTTTTTAGTTTATTTGTCATGTCTTTATTTTATTGAGAAAGTCGAGAATTCTAAATTATACTTGTCACTTGACTGACAATTTTCTGGTTTACGCTTTTTCTCAATCCTTCTCCTCTGCTTTATCATATACTACACTTTGGTAAGTATCGTTTGGTATTGTTTTAACTTTAACCCTGGATTTCTAAGAGTTGAGGATTTCATTTCTCTGTGTAAATATTTTGCAACTTTATTACTCCATTGTCTTTCTGGAGATGTGTCTCTCCTTCTGCAGGCTAGACACAATATTCTCGTCGGTCTAGAAATACAAGATAAAGCCATTCTCATCACTTATATTTCCGGTAAATTCAGACTCCGTGGAAAGTAAAATGAGGTCGATTTTGGAAAACTAATCTCGAGTCGAGAGAAGAAGCAAGCGTGGAGACAAAAACTTGAAAAGTTTGTATAATTAAAGTTTTGCTACTCGCTTCGCAAAATCCCATGTGGAGAGAGGTATGAATTCTGTAAAGACTTGATAAAACCTTATTCCCACAATTATTAGGATGAAGCGTACGGTTTTGCTGGGTGGAAGTGTACTCAAAAACTGAAACACTAGCCAATACAAATATATTTATAATCTTGAACCATGCTAAATTTTATAAAATTCTGGGAAAATGTAAGAGTTTCTGGTTGACAAACCATTATTTTTGAATTACATACATATTTTGTGTACTGGGCAAATCATGTGAACCTAACCTAATTTTTTTTTAATCCGGTAGAGTCAATATATTTTTGTGCTCTATGCTGTTATGGATTTGGTAATAACTTTCCAATTGGTTATAAAAAGGTTAAATTATTAGTATCACACCGAGACATGTCCCGTTACTGAAATTCGCAAAAGTGCTTACATATTTCAGTAAACTTTGCAAAGTATTGACACCACAATATTCCGAGTTGGTGCTTTTGGAAAGACTTACACAAAATACGAGCGGACAACTTTCTCCTTTATCTTGACTAATAATACGAACCTAAGTTCTTCGTAGCTCAAGTGAAATCTTGAGGAGAAAGTTGTAAATTTTCAAGGTTATTTTTCGAACTGCGGACTTTCCCATAGTAGGGACAGAAATTGTGTACATATTTTTTCGAACGGCTAGAGGCACAGTTGAGGACAAGTACGATTTCTGCATATAATATTAACTCGACATTAAGGGGATTTTACTCTTACCGCTTAAATATTTCTGGCTTGAAATTTTATGTGCAAATAATTTAACAAAAACTGTAGTTTCTCGGTTTTTAGTAGGTACTGCATTTTCCAGTTATTTTGAATATTTGCATCGCGTCACTAAAATTTATACCCCTTGGTGCATTCTGACTCAAAAGAGTGTAACAACTCAGCAAGCGTGTAAAATAAAAGTCAAACAATGTGAGTAAAAAAGGACATGCAACAAATTTCCTTGTCCCTTTGTCCTTAGCTTGTCTTATGATCACACTCTTTTGAGCTTTTCCCACTTTCATGGCTCTAGGAAGACTATGTACACTCTTAAAAATCATATTACCATTTCGAAAATTAAATACAGTCAAAATTTTATATTAAGTAAATTGTAATAAATTCAGAGTAAACCTTACTTTTTACGAAGTTAATGTTACTCTAGATTCCGCATAGTTTACTTAATATAGAATCAAGAGTTCGTGTACTTTTCAAAATGACAACATTATTTTTAAGTGTGTATATGTGCATCTGGTTCCGGTAGCTGTTTTTTTTGCTTGGAGCAAAAGTCCTGCAAAATATTAAATGCTCAAAATGTAAATTACGTGGGACTTTCTTATGCAGTCGTGGACGTGGAATTCCTGCTTTTAGTTTTCCAAATTATGGAGAAAGTCATAAATTATGAAAGCCGTATCTAAATTTGAAATTCTTCACACAAAACGCTTTATAAATATGTAGTATGTTTAATTTACTCATATTTTTCTCCTTTTTAAGTTCCTCGAAAAACTCGCAAAATAACTGTAATATGGATTCCACATGTTTTTACGATTCTCATAAAATCATTTTAATTTCGACCCTGAAGTGAATGTGATAAATAAGACGTAAAGTGAAATAATATGACGAATTTAATTAAATAGTTTAATACCTTCACATTTCATGAATTTCATAAAAAATGCTTTATTTCAAGATTATATATGTTCAAAATTATGTTCAAAATTTAATTACAAATATTTACACGTACATATATACTTATTGTGACACATGAAATTTATTATCTCAGAAAACTTATATGAACTTTATATAAAAAATTGTGAACCCTGATCAGTCCAAAAACTAAACTAACTCTACCACTGATCACCTTAATTTATCAAATTCAATAAATAATTTGGTCGAAAGTTATAATCAATTTTGAGAAATCTTCTTTGTTTTTTTCATGTTACACAAACATTAAAAAAACATTCCCTTTGCAATATCAATGACATCCTTTGTGAACAACCCCTATTAAAAAGTTGACTTTTTACACGCTAATTTATTAACTCATTTAAATCGAGCCATTGAAATGTTCCGAAGACGAGCAGCTGGATTTCGGTGGGATTAAAAACGTGCTGACCACAAGACCAGGACCGCTCCGGTTGGAACTTGTCGTTGCCGTGGTCATGGTCTCCTGTTGTCATAAAAGAGGACTTGATCCACGTGGTGGGTCGAGAGGGGTTGACCCCTGATTTCCTCTCCCGCCGGATATCTTATTCGTTACGATGGGTGATTTCTTGCCATTCTTGGGTTTGAAAAAGGATAAAAATGTGGTCCGAAATTCCCGAGAGAATAAACAGTAGATGTAAAATGTTAGTGAATAGTTGGTCAGTTCGAGGAGATTCGCGACGGAGCGGAACACCTGAAAGGTTTTAAAGGAAGGGTTATTTAGTAGGGGTAATATGACATCTAATTTCGACGAGTGGAAGTGAGAAATATCGATTTTAAAGTTTCAGCATTTCTTGCACCGCTATGCAAATAATGTGAGGTGTAAAAAATTCAAGAAATACGCGCCATCTAGCGGCTCACAATTTCAAATGGATTTAACGACAGGGATTGTCTGCTAGATGGCGCTTATTTCTTGCATTTCTTGCGCTCTTGAAATTGTGTCTGCGACAAACAAATTTCGTGCAGTTTACGGCAATTAATAATTTGTTCAAGTTTCCATCATAAAAGTAAATTGTAGAACTCCCGTTTATTTAAATTACACTAAATACTGCCCTACTTTCAAATTTAGGACAATTTGAACTTTCCCCCATTTATATCGATTGTTCCCCGGAAATCAATTTTCTCCGAATTGCATAAAACCCTGCAACTAACGGCCATATTACATACTAAAAATATTATGTCAATTTAAATACCTGGAACGAAAACGATTTCAGTAACGACTTTGTGAACATGAGGCTCAGAATGACCATTGGTGTCACACAGACGAAAAATAGGACCGACGTGGACCCCAGCAATAACATGATTCTGCTCTCCTCAGCAAATTTCTTGCTTTCATCTCGGCTCGTTTTTCCTGTAACAGATCATTACACACACGAATTTTTAGTAACATTTTCTTTAAGTGATACATACATGCATCAATCAAAAGTAGTGTTTTTCGTTACACAAATATCCTACTTATTTCTGAGTGAAAGTTTTCGACGTGTATTTATTACAAAATATATTATTTTGGGAGAAAGTAGTAAACACCCATTAGAGAAAGAATTCGGTGCAGTTGACTGACAAATAGGGACTGAAATAGTTGAGTGATTGCAGAAATGGTTCAGAAAGACATTAGCGGTTTTGCGGTGAAAAGCAATGAATAGAAAGTCCACACTCTTAAAAATAATGTCTATAGAAAAGTATGTGCGCTCTGAATTCGATATTATGTGAACTTTTTTATGGCTTGTTTTTTTTAAATAAGGGACTTTTCTAAATGCTAAGCTTATCGTTGTCAGTGTCTTATTTGCATACGTATAAAAATATTTATTCATATGTACACTCTTAAAAATAATGTTACCTTTAGAAAAGTAAACGCGCAGTCAATTACACGATAAGTAAACTAAACAAAACCAAATAGAGGGTAAACTTTGCCCATTATCAAGTTAACGCTACTCTGGATTTGGTATGCATAGCTTAATTAACTTACAATTCAGTGTGCATTTACTTTTCAAAGTGGTAACATTACTTATTTTTAAGAGTGTACACTAGAAATACTAGAAATAAATAGCAATACGTTAAATTTTAGATACAAATACACGATTCTCTTCATGGGAAGTGATAGACGAGAAAATTGAGTCGACATGACGTAAATAAATGTATATGACAGACGAACTACGCGTATGTATTGGCCATGGCCTGAATATTGTGGCATTGTGCAACGAAATTACATACGTGTTTGGCTCACGGGAATTCCACAGATAAATTAATTTCTGGCCAAATCTGGGTCTATTTCTAGCCGAAGGAGAAGTATGTAGGGATAAAACTGGTAATGAGTTGTTATCAGATGGATGCCCAGAATCCAATCCGACCAGAACTGCACGACTGCACAAATTAATACGAATTTTGGTATGTCTTCACGCAGGAAAAAACTCAATTATCTACTTTCTTTGTTCTCGATTTAATCGAATTAATCTTGTTTTGTGATTGGATACACCTACTCATTAATCTGCTAAGTAAAACTTGTGTTTGTATTTGTAGCGATGGATGATTACACGATAATCACGCGATCCCTCTTAAAACAGAACTTTTACAAGGTATATATCATGATAAGAATATGTTTGAAACTTACCCGTCATGAGCCTCCTTCTGGCACAAGTTCTTCGATAAGCCACAATAATTCGGAGGTTCAGATAAGCCAGGAGGATGGTGGGAATTAGGCGGAAAATCAAACTGATAAACCACTTGTATACCAGGTAGAAGGTGGACGAGAGAAAGGCCTGGTTTTCTTTTCCCTGGTATTTTTCAAAACCTACGAATCAAAAATTAAAAGGTTTATTTTTAGAAATTTTAGAGCTTTTCGAAAAAGTGTCCTCAGGGCTTTTGTAAATTTTTACAGATTAGTTAACATCATCAGATTATTTCGAGCACTTTCACTGCTCTAGTTTCACTGCGGATATTGCGATCTATGCAATTTGATACTAGTGAGATGATCAGATTTCCCCCGGCTTCATCTTATTTTTATAAATGGAGTCTTTAGATTGGTGGAATGTTTGTTATTGCAAAAAGTTGGGGTAGCATGTCATGTACTGTAAATTCCAGTGGTGATTATGTAAACATCCTGAAACAAGTTATTAAATTTTCTATAAATATCTTTAAATTAATAAAGTCTCAGATTTCAAATATCCGGAACATGCCCTCTTAAAAATATTGTTATCCATTTAAAAAGTAAATGCACTCTAAATTAAGTAAGCTTCACTAAATCCCGAGTAACGTTAGCTTGACAGGGAGGAAAGTCTCTCTGGATTTAGTATATTTAGATAAATATAAAATTAGTTTTCTAAAGGGTAACGTTATCTTTAAGAGGGTAATGTTTCAACTTTTATCCATGTCTACGTTTAGCTGTCAACATTCCAATCTGCAGGCTAAAACCTGAGCTACTTACTAATAAGGTTAAACATAATTAGATAAATATTTCACCCATCTAATAACCGGAAATTATAAAATCGTCAATATAAAAATCCAATTTATGCACTAATTAAAAAAAATAAGTAACTTTAGAAAATTATAACTCCTAAAATTTGACCAAAATTGACTTACCGTCGTCCGTTTGACACTGCACAAGTGAAAACCTCATCATGTGTGGGGTGTGTGCAAGCAGTGTGAGTACGGGAATAGAGGCAATGATGACGTACGCCTTGTGCGACCCCTGCAACGCTCTCGACTTTTCGGGATGACATACCGCCACAAATCTCTCCATCGTCAATGCCACCAGCATCATGACACCAACACCTGAAAAGAAAATGATGAAAATGACCTTGATTTTAGAAAAAGGGTTGAAACACTTTCTTCTACACTGTTAACAATCTGGTATGAATTTCTCGGTATTAAATGTGTCTCCAGCTGATATTAGAATTATAGGCCACTAACTAATACAGACATTGTACAAATTTTATACCGAGACTATTACCGCACTGTATGGCGTACACTATTACCAATCTGATATGGTCCCGCAGGTGTTGATTTCTCGGTATGAAAGTTGCTACCTCTTGGTATTAAAATTATACCCGTTCGTATAAATTTGAAACGGATATGGTAAAACCTTAATACCGTGCTAGTGTTTACTACGCTTCACTACGCTGCTTACTTATCAATACTAGTTTGCCAGTGCCACACATGATTCCCGCTTGGTATTATTTTGATACTGGATTTCTAAGAGTACTTTTTTTGAGATACTGCACCGAGAGAAAGTTGCATGGAGAAAGCTAAAAGATTTATGACGTGTTGTCCTGATTTATTCCCTTTCTTTCCGACGTGCCGTTCGACCTCTTCGATATCAAGATTTCTATTCTTTCACCCAATGCGGTTTTCTAGTGATCTGCGGTCTGACTTTTGTTTCACGCTTGTGCAACTTCACCAACCGAAACACAGAATTAAGTAGTTATGTAATCTTTATTAAATCCCAATTCTGTATTAGCATGTCTATTTATAGGCTTTTTTTAACAAAGCGTGTTAAAGAAAGATCTTTTTTTTGTCATCGAACTTTTTTAACCCTTAAGCACGTCAGGTTCAGAAATATGCACACTTTTATTTGGAGAAAGTTTTCTACGTGATTTGGTTTTGAAGGGTGCATTTGAAATCCGTTATGTAATCGGTATTACGCAATCAGAGGAGAATGAAGAAAGTTTTTTTTCTGCAGAGGAAAACTGCCAAGTGCATTCAACAGATTGAGCACATTATCCAAACTACTTTCACTTATGGAATGGATAATAGCTCTTCAAATCGGTGCGACGTGACGGCTTGCTTAAATTCACGGTTATTTGAGGCCGAAGATCGAGATGCCTTAAATAATAGCTGGTAAGTATATTAGATACTTGAGAAAACAATTGTACGGATTATGAATCCAACAATTTTGAAAAATTTGTATTTAAATTTTTAAATTTTTGAAATTATTTTTGCTAATAATCGAGGTTCTCATATTATCACGTGCAAAATCGCTTGGCGGACATTCTAATCTTGTTAGCATCTGGAAAAATACTCCGTAGTTTGCAAATATTTCAGAACACCCCAATTTGCGAAAAGTTTTATCAAATCTAAGTAAATTAAGCAAAACTTGTGGAAGTATTTTGTTCGATTCGAATGATATGCAAAAGTTATCGTGAGTTCGCCCAGAATTCGTGTCATTTCCTGTTTAATATTGTAGGAAAGAATAGATCCGAAAGTTGGAATTGCCGCAGGATAAAATGTCACTCTTGTTAATCTCATCCCTCGCTTTCACTCAATTTCAGCACGCTCCCAAAAACGTGTCCGTGATGTGTGTGTGTGTGTGTGGGAGGATGGCTTAAAAGGTATTTGGTAACCCGAGAAACACAAAAGGTTCATAACCTTCGATTCGGAAAACCGATATCTTTTTACCGCGTCACTGGTAAGCAATAGCCATCTTGTGTTAGCCACACTTGCACTAGATTATTCTTCACTATACTGTAACAAAACATTTGCTTTTACCGATGCAAAAATTCAAAATATTTACCAACTTTGCCTAATCTCTACGTAATATTTACCAATTATGTACCAGTTAATATATCGGTACGGTAGCGTGTTGCTCGGGACTGTTGCAGATTCACCTAGTGTGAAAAGTTACATAGTTCAGCTATTTCACTTTGCTTAACCTGTTTTGTAAAACAGTATTGCCCTACGTTCTACTTTTTATCAATCTTATCACAACAGGTTAGTATTTGTTTCAAGACTAAACACAATGTATAGAATTGTTTGTATATTAGTCGTAAAATTTGAACTATCAATTTGCCTCGCTTCGCCCATGATCAATTGTTTGACTTGTTGTAAGTACTATAATTAAGACAATGATGAATTGCACCATTAACTTAATTAGATTTAAATAATTTTCCACTCCCAAAATTTTGTCACTCACCAAGACACGAGTTTCCCAGATAGAGCTCGAGATACGTGTGAAAGAAAGCTTGGTACAGATTGCTCCAGGGACCGACCTCATTGTGAAAAAGGACCCGGACAGCGAACGGAATTGCGACAATGATCGCCATCAGAGCGGCGGAGGAATAACCTGCAATTTCAAATAAACGAGGGATCCCCATTAACAAAATGGTATTGAAATGTGCACCAATTTCACCACCCACACGATTCGTAATGAGAGAGAGTGAATGACAGGCACGTATTGCACTTTCACTTTCCGCTGGGTAATAACTGGAGAAAGGGAGAGAGCTCGTTAGAGGAGACAGCTTTTCACTGGAAGAATTTCGTTCACCTAATTGCTCGTGGTTTTTTGGACTCACTAACATCAGGAGAAAGTAAAAGGGGAAGTATTTAGAAAAATCTGGGTTTCCTATAGCTAAGCATTCATGTTTTCACACTCTTCAAAATAATGTTACCCTTTAGAGAAGTAAATAAATGCATTAGAAATTCAATGATACGTATTGTTAAGTATTCATAAGCTAAACTAAATCTAGAGTAGCGTTAACTTTATTTTATGCAAAGTTTGCCCCGGGTTTAGTACAGCTTATTCAATATTTATTTCGGAGTGTATTTACTTCTCCAAAGTGTGCCAGTATTTTTAAGGGTGTGTAGAACTCTAATTTAAAATTGTAAGTTCCTTCAGTAATGAATTTATTCTTGTAAAGATGTAAGGATGACTTAATTAATGGAATACTGCTGTCTTGACTACCCAAGAATTTAATTTATTTATTTAAGCCCTTCATTACAAAAATGACATTCGCCAAATGAGAAATGTAGACATGTTGCTCACTGTAAAATATTTACCTAATTCAATCATGGAGACAGGAAAATTATTGCGGACTCCTTTTTTAATTAAGGGAATGAATTTCTTCATCTTGCATACTGGAAGGATGATGTTCAAAGTTTCCATCGCCAGATTCGTAGGACAAAAACAAATTTTACAAAAAATGGTAAAATTCAGTCAGCAATAAATTTGTGACAAATATATTTAACCACCTTATCTAATTTTTAAGAGATAGAAAATTTTAAAACTGAGGACTTTTTCTATATATTGCTTAGCTGCATATATCTGTAAATTCAAAATGGTTTCAAAATCTGGCATTGCATACTTTGTACTCTCCCCGCCTGATCCTTTAGTCGAAAGAAGACACAAAGTTTATGTACGTCTCCCATAAAAAAGTTATTAAACATCGTCTCTCAAGTCAAGTACAAAGGACAGAAACGAGGGAAATGTGTCTCGAAAATTAAGTGGTTGCCATTCTATCTGTCCATTTTTACACGCGCTTTATGGTTAGGTTAACAGAATGCTACATTTTTGCAGACGTCGCTTCACAGTTCACACATGGATGTATACAAACTAAGGTTGAAGTATTTAATTGCATTTTTTTCAGGTAGATGTTTGAAGATGAAGATAACAAAATGATTGACAAATATAAATATATTGAACGCACGCCTGTCTGGAAAATATTTAATAACGTGAAATTAATAAAAAAATAATCAATTTCACCTTTCCAATTTCACTCTTGTATTTTGACTAAACTTTCCACAGTGTTAATTTCCATTATTGTAATCGAAAATTAAGAAACAAATGTGCAACACTGGCCTATTATGTATCTAACTGATGATAAACGCAAGCAAAATACAAAAACATTTATCTGTACGTAAATTTGTTAAGATTAATGCGAAAAAGTGAAAGTCATGATGAAGAAATATTTCAAAGTGTTGAACAACGAAACACTGGTAGAATTGAAACTGGGGATAAGTAAATATCTACATAAACATAAACTACATAAACTTGATAATACTTTCTTGTGCCATGATAGGCACGAACATTTCGCATTAAATATGCCGTTAATGTGCGTATTCCTTGTACACATTACGTTAAGAACAGAGCAGCAATCCATACAGGTATTGATAAAAGACCTTCATATAAAATGAAAAATCGTGCCAAATTTCGCCACCATATTCGCAATTGCTGTGTAACACATGCGAATTAGGTATTTTGGAAATTCACGCAGACATTGGTAACTTTGAAAATCAAAATCGGTAATTATGGTGGAATAAATTTACAAACTTTTGCACAATTAAGAGACGTATTTGATTTGAATAATTTCACGAAAATTTGTTAGTAAATTTTTTATAGAATTATTTCTAAAATTTTGTAAATTTTCAGAATACACGGATTTTACAACGTTACCAAGGTCTGGGTGAATTGTCTCATTACATAAATATTTAAGCATACAAATTTTTTTAAGTACGAAGTAACGCAACAGTAAGGTAACAACATTTATGGACCCACATGCTTTTTTAAGTAAGGTATCAAATTTCAAATAATCAAAGATACACGAAAAATAAAACAGAAAATAAAACTGCGTACAAGGCAACCAAAAATTCCACCCTTTTGTCATACAAAATTCCATGTTTTATTCAAAAAACGATTCATTAAACATTTATGTATTGGTTTTGATGTTTTCCGCCTGGCCAATTTTTCTCCAATTCTAATTTCCACATTTGAGAGTCTGAACGGATTCCTGATTCATAAATACGTGATCTCGCTCGTGTGCGTACATATACAGCACGCCACAAAAATTCGACTCACTTAAAAGATCACTGCGACGGAATTCTGCGGTAAGAAGGAGTCCGGTCGATGATTACGTAATGCAGCAGAATAATCCAAACATCGCGAATTTCATGGAAATTGCAATCCGCTAGCTTTGTTTAAGTAAGGAAGTGAAAGCGGGGAAATGTGATACGGTGAGTTTGAGATGAAAGTGAAAGTAGACTAGGTCAGGTGGCTGGCTGGTGGTGTGAGTGTGCTTTCTCCGGAAATGGTAGCATATTGAGTTACACAAACCTTTCTTCACCAGAAAATACCGGATCATATTACGAGCATCCAAGATAGAATATGTTTCTGAGCGGAAAAAAATCACGCAGGGCAGCAAATGTGGATTTAGTGAAATAAATAGGGTTTATTCTTCATATGAGGAAAGTCATTTAACAAAATTTAATTCATTTGTCGTAATCAAAGACAATTTTCGCATGTGGAGGACGCCAAAATCACTTCACACGTATTAAGAGAACTTTGTTCTAGAAAATGACGGGATTTTTGTTCCTTAATTAGAGGGTTTATTCGGAATAAAATCTTGACTTGAGTATGTCCAATATTTTTTGTACAGATGAAATCGATATTTTTAACCAGAAATAGGAAACAATTCTTAGAAACTAGAAGAGAGGGCTACAGTTTTTCTTTCTAGAAATCCAGTCATCCAGTAAGATCAAAGTAAAAGTACTTGCTACAGGGACGAGATTTTGCAGATGGTGCCATTATCGACAGGACAACGAACAATCCAAGTCAACCATGCACACACTTGTCCAACCGACTGGCAATTTATTTCTTGGGCAAAGAAATAAAAAAACCACGAGTCCTTAATCCATTAGGAAAAAGGTGGATAGAACAAGTGCGTACATCTTATCGGGCAAATTCAAAATTCAATTTTATGTAACTGCAAGGCAATTTTGATTTTAGGTGACATATTTTTATGTAATTAAGTAAATAGCATTTGTTGTAAGTTTTATGCTGGGTTATATATAAACATAATTTCATGATCCTGGCCGCAAAAATACTAGTATCTACTTCCACGAATGCTCAATTTAAAGGATGAAAAATGACAGCAGTTTAGTTTTTGAAGTTGAACAAATCTGTTATTTCTAAACTAATTTTAATTCCGTAAAAACACGTTTAGCGATTAAGATAATGATATGTTTAGTGTTTCAGCTAGCAAATGCTAACCAATAATTTTATATAGTTCAAGAACCACACGTTTAGGGTCGAAGATGTCTGATTGGAGATTTATAATCTGTAGTAATAAATATAGGATCTAAAAATTCGGCGTTCTGTTTCTCCAAGTCGCAGGAAAATTCGAGGCCATGCATAGGTTTAGAGGATTGGCAAGACCATACTTGGCTGAATTTTTTGACGCGTCGCTATTGAACTTTCACTTTTTCGACTTTTCCTTAAACCGACTAAATCTAGCTGAAAACTTGCTCAGCTCAAACCCTTCGGGATCATTTAAGTCATAAATGTGACGTCTCAAGGGCCTTTCTACACAATTTGGTTATCTTTCTCTTACCAAAATATATAGATAGCTTATTCACTTTCACTTCCTCCCACACCGATCGCATGAATACCTTCGTACCCAATCTAGATAAATTTCTTCTTTAACCTGAAACTCGTGGCGCTTTCGAGGTAAACAAACCGCAACCCAAACTTCAAAATTCTCCTGCCTGGTTTGCTTTTCCCCAAACTTTCTCTTTTCTTTCCGCAATTCACTATTCAGCAAAAACCTTGGATAAAACTGGATTGAAGAAAAGCCCTCCGAAATCTTATTCACGTCACGAGGAAAGAGTTAATGAAACGTGTTTTCGGCTTGAGTGCTGACGTTAATTGATTCCTTGTCAGCTGATACGCTGCTAAAAATCTGGTTGAGTCATATACCTATTGCGCACTGGTAGTGATTTGGTAATAATAATAACTTTCTACCGGATGGATGGCAGTTCGTTTTTAAGCGGTAAATTTTTCATTACATCATTCCTAAACGGTAATGTCCGTTATTACAACACACTTAATACTTTATGATACCATTTTTACAGGCGGAGGTACTACATACATACATACGTATACAATTCTACCCTTTTGGTAATAATTTGTCACCGACGTATTTATGTACATACAGAAGATAAATCCTGCTCAGTCCCCAGTATCAACGCTCTGCTAACAAAAATATAACCGTCCACGCAGGACATTTCTTACTCTCAGGACATAAGTTGTTACTATTGTGTTACCGTGCGGTAGAATTGGGTACACATGTGTATTTAGTATCTCCGCCGGTAAAAGTTTGTCCACATAAATACATATTGATAGTTCATTGAATTATTTATGCATGTATTCCGGTTCACTAATGATTCAATGCTAGTTTTTTAAGAGTGTACGTAGATATGCATTTTCCTCTCTACTCGTCGCAAATTAAGCCACAATTTATTTCCGAGTTGCTTTCACCCCAGCCGGCCGTTAGTTGCTGCAGTGAATGACGT